ATCATGATTGAAGACTTATTAATACAATTATCAGGATCTGTTTTACTCCAAGACAAGCTTATAAGTCGATCATTCACTTCCTAACAAATTACAACCATTAATGGTTAAAATGCAGCATAGTTAAACTAGTTAGTTTCAACAGAATTAATAGCGATTATCATGCATAAGTTTTACACCAGCACTCAAAGTTTACAATCTCTTGACAGTTTAGTGAAGTAAATATATACATATTTTTTATATTCCAATTGTTTATACAGGTTCTCATTCAAATCAACTTGCAGCTGAACTTGGCCTGCCAGGCTGGATATTAGCCATAGGTGAATAAATTACTGAAAATATATTGGTCTCATTATCGAATCATCATTGTGAGCTTCCTCGTGAAATATTGCCACACGAAATAAGTAAAAACATTGTTTAATAAACTTTTTAAATTATAATCACTGGCAATAGTTTTTATAAGCTTACTGTAAGACGGGACGATCAGTGTTGATTAGCGATTTAGTTCTTCCATACAATTAGGCGATTCCGTAACACTTAAACTTTCCCAAGGTATGGTAACCCTTCTCATCAAATTTTGATGAAACGTCGTAATCTGTATCTCCAAACCTGAGCTGTTTAACCGGCAGATGTGTCTTGTTGGTAAGGACACCACTATCTTCACGCCATACACCGTCATTCACACAACAGTTACAGGAGCATTTTTCTGACGTACTGGGTTGTTCACATGTGCTGTTCATTCCGCATGCGCACATGTGACTTTTAGGTGCCGCACCACTCCAGTATGTCATTTCTATCGAATCACGTGAAACCCAAAAGCCATCTATCAATGTAGAACCTCTGCACTCGTACCTTATGAACTGTTCACAGTGCAGGGAAACGTTGATGAGACTCACCAGTTGAGAAATTTTCGCTCCTTTGTAGTGTATGTCGCGAGAGTAATTTCCCCTCTTTTCATATCCGTCCACCAATGTCCTGCCCTCGCTGTCGTGACTTATGGCAGTCACGCCAACTCCGCCTTTGTCACTCATGTCACAGCTGACGTGGTAAGGTAGCAATTCTCCTTCACCATCAGGATCAATCAGACAGATTCCACTTTTTGCCTTAGGATCAAGCTTCTTTAAGTCACTGCAAGATTTTGATAAAACTGTGAAAAGAAATGAAACATTAGAGTGAGAAGTCGGCCAAGTTGTATGAGGAATTTTTTTATTTAAAAAAACAAGGAAGATATTAACTCAGCCATCTGAACTCTCAAAGTTCCTCTCTCCACTTTCGAGTGCAAGGAGGTATCAGAAAAATGCCACGGAAACATTTCCCTGGTTGAGGAATTATATGTTATGTACTAGTAGGAGTGGCCATAGTACACACAGTCTCGTGAGAACAAATTTAAGCCTGTGAGTTATTCTCAGAAAGAGCCCATTTCATCGTTCCAAATGAAAATTCTGTGTCTGTGGAAGACGAAGTGATCGAGTACAACTAATTCCTCACATTTGTAATTAAATATAATCTTTTGTCTCACAATTTAGTAACTATGTAGTCACGCGTTGGTTACACTGACAAATGCCAGGCGAATCAATTTGACAGGGTTGATGTTTTCAGTTTGATTCCAAGCGACTATGGAGGTTGACGTGACTTTTCTCGTGGTTTGAGTTTTGAGGACTCAGTGACTTTTTGTGTACATCAACGAATTTTCTTCTATTTTGAGAATATATGTTGATCACAAATCAGGGCCAACTAAATTTTCAAAATCACAAATTTTAAAGTACCACTGCAGTTTTCTCCAGCATATCCGGGAACACAGACACATCGAAACCCTTTGCTGGTGAAACCAACTTGGCAAGTTCCGTTATTCACACAGGGGCTGCTAATACAGGGATTCTGTTGAGAAGAAAAAACAACGCTCTGATTGAAAAAAGAAGACAAACATATTTTTTATCTATTCATTCATACTTGCCATATTATAATAAAATTTACAAGGAAGCATGACATGCTACGTTAAATTATAATAATGTGTATGGCGAGGCTTGTGTAAGGCTGGTTTTCCTCCCAAAAGAACAAATATACCCAACGTATATGGAGTAACATTGAACAAGACGTAAAGGTGTGAAGCCAGATTTTGATGGAAGAAGGAAAAGCAATAAAAATGCTGGTCTAAAATGATTAAGTTCCGAGCATGTGTACATGTGGTAAACACCAACGCTCTTCGAACACAATTTTAGAAACGAATTTCCTAGAAAGCCTTCATATTACAAACTTAGGTGATTATGCTGGTTTTTTTAAATTGTTTCCCGCCAAATTATTTTATTTGCCTAACAAACGTAACAGTTTACCGTCAAAACTATGATCCTGAACTTTCATATGAAGAATCAAGAGGGGCTTTTCCCTGTTTCACCGGAAAGCATCTTGTTAATTCTTGGGGTGAATCATTCTTTCCTTAATATATAAGCGAAATCGCCGGAATAAGTCATCAGATATGTAGTTTCAATTGTTTGCCAGTTTTGGTAGATCGAAATTTAAAGTAAAAACATTTCTTTGTTATTTTCTGAGGGAAACCTCAACCCCACCTATATCATTAACAATTCATTTAAACTTCCTGAATTCCAACTTGATGCTCTTTTCGAAGAGACGAGTTTCTGACAAAGGGTGTACATGTTACTTTTCAACAAAAGATCAATTTTTTATCGTTGACTTCATAACCCTTTCACTCCTAAGATCCCATTAGTAATTCTCCTTACTGTCTGCCATACAATTCCTGTAATGTTAGTTTTGAGAATTTGGTATTGAATCAACTAATAATCCTCTATCGGATTTTTTTTTTATTCTCATCACTTGTCTGTTTGATAATGTATTGCTTTGGTAAAGAGAAATTCTGTTTTTGTCACTCATAGGAGTTAAAGGGTTAAAGAAAGAAACGGTTTATTATGCGTCTCTGAATTCTTCTCTTGTGAAACTTAACTTGAAGTAAAGCATTTACCTCAATAGCTAGGTAGTAAGC